ACCCTAAGTCCACCTATACAAATATATATATATATATATATATATATATCTGCAGCTGTCTCTGTCTCTCTTTGATTGTCTCTACGGAGGCTGCAGCAGATGTTCTTCCGACTGTATGTAGCCTTCAGCCTTTAGGGTTTAGGGTTTAGGGTTTAGGGTTTAGGGTTTAGGGTTTAGGGTTTATGTGTTAGGCAACGGGGTGTATGCACTTCGCGATAACAGCAGTTCTACGTTCTGGCAGTCTGAGGGACAGCCGCCTCACGGGGTGTATATACACTTCAATAAAGAGATGAAGATTGCTCGGGTAGACCTCCTTGTTAATTATACTCTTGATGAGAGCTATACGCCTAAGAGGGTTCAAATCAAACTAGGCAAGACAAACCCTAAACCCTAAACCCTAAACCCTAATCAATCCGCACACAACCGTACTAAATACTCCCTTGTATTTAACTAACCTAACCCCAGGGTTTAGGGTTTAGGGTTTGTTTTAAATCTTGTTCTGCTGCTCTGCGAGTTGGGAGGGACATGAAATTCAAGATTTAGGGTTTAGGGTTTAGGGTTTAGGGTTTAGGGTTTGTTCAGGTTCCTGCCCTGCTACTTTGCGGGTTGTGAGGGACGTCGAGTTTGCAGTAGCCGATGAGCAAAACTGTTGGTGGGGGATTGAGCTGAATTCAATACAGGCTTTGAAGGTACCCCTAAACCCTAAACCCTAAACCCTAAACCCTAAACCCTAAGCCCTAAAGCTTAGGGCATTGGAGTGAACGCTGCTCTTCTTCTCAGCCTTAGGCCCTAATCAAACCCTAAGTCTTGGGATTGTCTCTGCGTTTGGCTGTCTCCTTCTCAGCTTCTTTGTGCTGCTTATTTAGCTGTCTCTGTCTGCTGTCTCCTTTTGTCTCCTTTTATTTCTTTTTGTCTTTTTTCTGTTATTTGTTATATTTACCTCCGTCTCCTTTTCTTTATTGTTGTCTCTTTCTTTCCTTCTATTGCAATCTGCTGCTGCTGTTGTTGTTGCTGCTGCTGCTGCTGCTGTTGCTGCTGCTGCTGCTGCTGCTGCTGTTGCTGCTGCTGTTTGTTGCTTTAGCTGGCCAACGGGCTGTCTCCTGATGTGGATGACAGTATAGAGCTGCCTCTGCAAGCTGTACGTACACCCGAATATCTGCGTGCTGCTTGTCTTGAAATTGCTGTCCTCTCAACCCATCAACAAGGCAGAGACACGCATATCAGACAGGTGGGCTTAGGCTTAGGGTTTAGGGTTTAGGGTTTAGGGTTTAGGGTTTAGGGTTATATGGTGGAGTAGGTGAGGGCTTATATGCCCGTGAGACTTAAAGGTTTAGGGTTTAGGGGGTAGTAGGTGCATATTTTAGGGTTTAGGGTTTAGGGTTTAGGGTTTAGGGTTTGTTTGCATGCAGGTGAGGGTTTATGGGCCCATAGAAGACTCAGACGAGGGCGAATTTGTCTCTTCGGGCGGGTGGACGAGGCCGTCGAATGCTTCAACATGTAAGCACAGAGACAATGCTTGTCTTGTCTTCTCTTTATTTCTTTTTATTTTTTTTATTGCTTGTCTTTGCAGCTGTTTATCGGTTGTCTTTGTTTCTTTTTATTTATTTTTATTGTTTGTCTTTGTAGCTGTTTATCGGTTGTCTTTATTTCTTTTTATTTATTTTCATTGTTTGTCTTTGTAGCTGTTTATTGTTTGTCTTTGTTTCTTTTCATTGTTTGTCTTTGTAGCTGTTTATTGTTTGTCTTTATTTTATTGCTTGTCTTTGTCTTTATTTTTTTATTGTTTGTCTTTGTTTTTATTTTGTCTGTCTATGTTTATTGTAGTTTTTTTTTGTTTTTGTGCTTTTTCTGCATGCATGCATGCATGCATGCATGCATGCATGGATGCCCTTACACAGCAGCAACAGCGCCTGCAGCAGCAGTGTCTGCAGCATCAGTGTCTGCAGCAGCAGCAGCGGCAGCAGCAGCAGCAGCTGGAGCATCAGCGGCAGCGGCAGCAGCAGCAGTGTCTGCAGCAGCAGTACGTTAGGGGTATATATAATGTTTATTAAGTTTGTCTCGTTTGTTTTTGTTTATTTTTTATGTTTTATTTATTCAGCTAATGCAGCATTTGTCTTTGCATTGGGAACAGAAGCTGCCGATACACCCCAGCAGCAAACACGGGCGAGAGAAGGCGTCTCCTTCGCTAGAGCCTGGAGTCAAGACTTCTTTGCTGCTCTCACAGGCACTCAGCCTCCTAATCCCTAACCTCCTGTTGCTGCTGTTGCTGCTGCTGCTGCTGCTGCACTTGCATCTGGAGCAGCACTTGCATCTGTTAATGCTGCACTTGCAGCAGGTACTGCTGCTGGTGCTGCATTTGCT